CCGTTAGTTGCTATTGGATAATGGGCGGTCTAAACTTTTATTGGGAACAGGATGTAATTATATACTTTATGGTAGCAATAACACTTCCAGAAGTTTCAACACAGTGTTCACTTGAGGACAGCTGCTTCCTTACCCAGAGGAGAAAAAAAAAGAAATATGAGTAACATCCTCTAATGTGCACAAAGCAGTAGGCTTAGGAGGAGTCGGATTAAAGGAAAAACCAACTCTTGAGTGAAACATGTTAGATGACCTTTGGAGCGAGTCTAAAGCTCTCTCCCAAGGGCAGGCATTGTTACTGGGGCCGGTCTGTGTTCCCGCAGCAGAAAGCCAGCAGTGAGATGACCAATGTCACTGTTCGCGCCTCCAGAGCCAAAACTCCCCCTCAGTCTTCTCCTTCACTTCTCCTGACAGTCCCGGGACTTCTCACACAGCACAGCCTTTTAACCCCTCTGTAACCCCAGCCCAGATACCCCGAAATATGTACCTACCTAATGCTGTTCGCTTGTAAGGCTGCATAAAACAGATTGCTCTCTTATTAACAGGATTTTTCTCCATCAAAAGGCCTTTAATTACGAAGAATGCTAAATTGCCCAGCACAATGACATGGAGAAGTTAATATAAAAACAAAGAGCAAAATCACATAAAGACACACTTGCATTCCTTTCTATCCATCAAATAACGCCTATAAGCAACAGCAGTCTTTCTGTTTTCGTTGAGATCTGAACTTGTGGAAGTGCATTCAAGAGTATTCAAGGCAACCAGCATTTCTGGACAGATCCCAAATTATTATTCTTGCACGTTTGAGACCCTGTTCCATTACTTAATCTTCCGGGGTGAAACTCAAATAGTGCCAAAGCAAAGTATTGATCTTGGCCCGTTTGTCCAGGTAAGAATCGTGAAACTGTAAGAATCACAGTGCAAGGATGTCTTTTACTAGTCCAGTGACAGCATGTTGTCTGTATTTTATGCTTAGAAAGACTGTACTCGCCAGCTGCGTCCACTGGCTTAAGAAATATCAGAGTAAAATAAACAATTTCAGACATTTTAAGCAAGTAGAGGAACATGGGTGTCAACTTTAGTTTTTTTTTAAATAAAATGATCAAGTACATTGTTTTCCAATAAGCACATCTGGGTACACTAGACAGGCAAATGAAGAGGGAGTGAATAAGATGGCGACACGAGGAATGGAGTCACCTGGCCCTCCTAGTTTTGAAGGTCAAGGAGAGCCTCATGCATATTCATGGGGAGACACGCGGGATCGATGGGTTTTAATTGTTTTTCCTGGGTCCTGGGAGGAAGTGCCAGGAGCTATTGATCTGCTGGAGATGAGGCCACTTACACATCAACCTGAGAGGCCGTCGCCCGGCGGTGCGCAGGCTGGGGAAATGTGACAAGACAAGGTGCCGACACAAAACACAGCATCAGTGTCAATCAGGGCAATGCTGCTCGCAAGCCCGGCCTGCTTAAACACTCCACCGAGGCACCGCAGCCCAGTGCTCTGCTGTAGCTCCCCGTCCGTCTCACAGCGGAGCAAGAAGAGAGGCGAAATGATGAAGTAAACTAGAGCTCATAATCCAGAGTTTAAGCTTTGGACCTGTGACTAGTGTGCATGTGACCTCGTGCGACAGGCAATTGTTCTTCTGAGTGTTTCAGACTGTCGTGACGTCGCGACATGTTTTGACCTGTTCCTATAGGATTTGAGAAGGGCTTCCCCAGCGTCTTTAGAAGCATTCACGTAACGTGAATAGGGGACCTTTTGTCCGTGCAGGGAAATCGACAAACACAACATGCAAACACCCTCACTTGATTTACAAGGCAAATGCCGCCAAAACAGTCTGTTTTGCCACACTTCAGAGTTATGCTGAGAAATGACCGGCTTGAAAACCCTTGTGGGTCATACTGGAGGTTAGTGTTGGACATGAAGTTCTCAGATGAGCACCTGAAGGGCAGTTTAGTATGCAGCTTGTGTCTCTCCTCCGCTGTGCTACCCTGCTGATGTCAGTGGGGCGGGACGAGGTGTTGTGTTATGCGTTGCTATGGCAATAGTTTACATCAGCAGATCCATAACATAGTTAACTGGTTTGTGGAGAAACTCTTTAAATGACGTTTTGCAGTGCACATTTTACAACACCGGGTGTTCATGTGAACCTGTGGACCTCTTATGTGAACATGTTTATAGCCATCTTCTATGTGGTTGTAATCCATTACACTCCATTACAGTTACAAGTTACCTGCGCAAGGAATTACTTTGGAACTGAATAATAAGATGGGGGGAAATTACTTTAAAGGGGTAATGAACATGCAGAACGATACCTACTAAGTTCAAAGTTCACTGGCCAGTCATTGAAGAAGAGCAGTTGGCGGTACAGGGCATGATTCATAGCAGGTGCAGAAAGATTCATTATAACATGTGAAGTACAGTACATGTCTGAAGTAGATGTTAGCATGATGACACCTGCCAAGACTCACATCAATAGGCGTTGCTTTCCTATGATGGCAGTCATTTGAAACTGGAGAACACAATGGCAGTCAGATGGCGACTGTAGCACCTGCAGGAGCCACGTTTCACTGTATGTTGGCTGTACAGCCACTGGAAGGACACGTTCCACGTTCCGAGTTTGGATTTAAGTGGTCAGGCAGTGCTGGCAGACGTCTGCGTTTGCCAGACTTGATGATACATGGTGTACATAAAAATTATGCCACCAAATCAGAAGCTGCTCTGTCTCTTCACGAAGACAGACAAGTTTCAATTCAATCGGTAGAGCTGGTCCCAAGACACAGGCAGTTTGAGGTGAGAGATCGTAACAGCAAGCATGCAGTCGTCTTGGTACTGTATATACAGGAACTACATTGTGTCAGATGTGTGCAAACAGTTTTCAAATGGCAGCAGGTGGTTTATTGAAACAGGGCAGTAGGTGTATACAGGATGGTGGTTCTTTGTCTGAACTACATTTCCCAGGAAGCGGTGGGGCAAATGACCCTTCCTCCTTGTGCACCTGACCAATTAAAGAAAAATAATTGGTTGGGTGAAATTTAAAAACCAGGAAGAGGTGACTTCCAGTGTTGGTGTGTATCTGATGATTGGAAAAGATGTGAGGTCTTCTGATAGGCTATCACCAAAGGGAGAGAGAGAAAGATTTGTCTATCCAGCTGATCGACAGAGGAACTTGTGAGTTTTGGGAAATGCTGAGTTACACGTTTTGCTAGTAAGTAGCACAGCTGCCTAGCTGTTTATAGCGTGGGACATTGGAAGTTGTTTAGTAAGAGCTCAAAAAGACAGCTACGGTGGTAGTCCTTTAAAAGATCCCTATTATGACTGCCCAAATGTGCCACAATTCAGTATCTACAATGAATAGAAAGAAATGTCAGTCTGAGAACCATCTTGAATTACATAGGATCCCAGTCATTGTGTTACTGGTATTATAATTATATATAAAATCAGGTTACAATGGTTTTTGAGCAGGTTCTGTTTCGATGACAAATTGTATTTCTCAGGTGTAGATCTGTGCAGATGTAAACCTTAAATGTTTATGAATGATTGAATAATTCAAGTTACAGTTCAAGTGTTTTTGAAAAAGAAGATTTTGAACTGGTTTTCTAATAAGAGGCATCTTGGTTGACACCAAACGTTGTGTCCAACATTTAATGTCTTATCCGTCCTGGTATTCCCAACCACTATGAAAGTCCTCTTTTGCCTGGTCATCAAATATCAAAAATCAGATTAAATAAACCCATAGGATTGCAGTAGGCTTCCCCCACTTGGACTCCTAATACATTTGAACAAAAACTGTCTGAGAAAATGACTCATAATAAGAGGAAATTTGTTGCGAATAAAGGAAAACGGTGCCTATTAAGTGCCCATTGAAAGTGAGCATCAGGTGCTCTGTGGGAGAGGGATATTCTTAGGAGTCATGTGAACTGTACAGCAAAGAAGCAGAAAACAAATTCTCAGCAGATGTGGGTTCCCATGTCAGACAGGACAGCGGCCATGTTTCCTGTTTGGACAAAGGGCCTGGCTGTTAAACTAAACTGGCAGCTCATGCCAGCTCACTGCCAGCAGTGCCTGGTCAACAACAAAGAGTGAAGCCAGGAAAACTCTCCTGTTGCCTGACCTGGATCCTGGACAAGTCAAAGTCAAATGCACAAATCCAATGTTTGGTTCTTAGGTGATGCGTCTATGCTTCGAAAAACAAACACTGCAAATTTCATCAAGGCGATTGGTTTTGGTCTTTTACCTGTGGAGGTCTGGATTCCATTTCAGCTTAGGTCAGAAGCGAAATTATCCTTTTTTTTGGGTGGTTGTTGTCAGACACATTAATGGGGAGCTATGTGAGGAAAAAATGCCACTGCTATAGCTTTGCAGCTGTCGCAAAAACATATCCCCCACATAACATAAAATATTCTTTATATTACAACGCGCCTTTATCTCATTCCGATGGCATCAATCCGCACAAAACCGGCCGCCAACAAGCCACAGTTTAATGTTTCCTTCTCCATTCTCTCACTGTTTCTTTTCCTTTCCCCTTGCCTTCTTCGCTAAGAAAAGGGATAATCAGCGTTTACTCAAGCAAGGCAAAAAAACATTTAAGTGAAGTGGGGAAAGGAGATTGCAGGAACTACTGAAGAATAACATCGGGCTGCTTTTGCTGTCAAATCACACAAGATTTTCGGTAATAGATTCTCCTCCAGACACTCAATTCGATTCAAAGGAGATCCTCCTTTATCCCAGTGCATCAAATATTTAAACACTCGTATTAGCCGCGGTGTCATCTCCTCACTGGGAGCTTATAGCACCAATCTCTTCAGAGTTTTTTTTTTCTGTTCTCTTTCCCTTTCCTGTTACAATATCCACAATGTTATCTCCCAGAACCTCCATATACCCTCTTATCATTTTATTTTCAATACTTAAAACGGTATTAGTTTTTTTTTCCCCCTGCCTCTTTTCTTTCTCTCGTTCTTTTTTGTCAGTCGCCGGGCTTTTCAATTTTAAGAGGCACGGCTTAGAGATTGCGCAGGGAAGGCATTGGGAGAGCGGGCTGGAGGAGGGAGAGAGGGAGAGGGAGAGAGAGGGAGGCAGAGAGAGAGAGAGAGAAAAGCCCAGGCAACAGTGGAGCGTTTGACTGATGCCTTTCAACAGGAGCAGTCTAGCTTGTCAAATCGCCGGCTGCAAAATGAATTGGCATATCTATTCAGCCTGCTGTGAGATGTCATGCAACACAGTTTCATATTCCTAGATAAGGCACGATAAAGCAATTGCCAGAGTGACACCGAGTGTGGCTTTCACTGGTAATATTCTGTCTGCTTGCTGCGGATCAGGACAAGTGGAGATTCTCTCAGGATGAAGGGCTTAGGCTGGCTGGCAAGAAAGGGGGTCTAAGGCGAACCTCCGAGGAGGAGGAGGAGGAGGGGGGACGGCGGTGGTGATGGGGGGTGCCTTCGGAGGCCAAAACTCTTTCCCTCTTTCCATCATGAAGTTTTGAGGTCGCGGAAGAGGTCGGCGGGGTGTGAGAGTTCGCCACGCACTGCCCCTGTCTCCCCCTTCTGCACTGTTAATCCGCTCAGAAATGACGGCGAGGTCCTGCAAGACTCCTTCTCGGACACCTTCCTCCTGAAGGAACACCTTTCCTGGGAGTGAGGGGGGATACCGCACGGCCTCCTTGAAGGATACTGGGGTTTTTCTCAAGAGAACAATTGAGCTCTGCTTGTACAGGCCTCAAAGGTACTTTTGTGCGATGCTCTGCTTTTCGATTCTGCTTTTAAGATCTTCTTCTCTTTCTGTCTTCACACCACAACTGGGCAGCAGAAGTACCCAGACAGCCTTCCCTTCTCCTGCATAACACCCCCCTTGTACCCCGAGGTCTTCAATTTGTACTGCTTCTGCAGGGTTTGTCCTTTCAATGTTGTTTGCTTGCTGAAGTGGTTTGTAATACCGCTGGAACATCACTTTAGCTCCTCCAAACTCGGGCCTGTTCCACTCCCTCTCTGATCATCCAGCCAGCCCACCCCTCCCAGTTCAAACAGAAAGCCTGCTTCAGGCCTGACAGCTACATAAGGCATATGTGTTTTAATTTAGAATGGAGCTTTTTCAATGCACCTTATTCAACGTAAGATATCAGTGATTTCCTCCAGCATTTCTGAAGCATATTAACGATTTCACAATGTGCAGTAGCCAGAGTGCCATGGAAATGCAGTGCTGGAATTAAGTTCGGGAAAGCAAACCGAGAGTTAGCCTTTTGCAGCTGTTGGAGAGTGTGAGTTCAGTATCACTGCAGTTGTTCAGCATAGGTATGTGATCATTCATCTGCCCAATGACACAGATGGCTCAGGACATTCTGTCGAGTGTGTTAGCTCATAATTGGCAGTGCTTATGAGACCTCCTATAGCAGCTCGGAACAAACCTCCACTTTATTACACAAACTGCCAAGATTACTCTATTGTGCTGTGGATTTTGTGCTGTAAATAAACTGGCAGAATGTGAACGTGTCAGGAAAAGCTGTAACACAAGTCTAGCCTGTAGCCTGGAGGGACAGCTTGTTTTCATTTCTAAATTCCTAAATAGGATTCCAGGCGTAGGCCTCACCACAGCCTCTGTGAAGCCTGTTTGTTTACACCTGCTTAGAAAGCATCTGCTGCTCATCACCGCAGCCCTGTCTTCACTGTCCTATCACTCTGTCCTCGTAATGAGCTTCTCTCTCCTTTGCCTGCTCTCTGGCTCCTTCCTTTTCCTCCCCTCTCCAGCTTACAATCTGTTTACCCACCATCTTTTTTTTCCCCACTGCGGCGGGTCTCTCCGCCTTTGCTGCTTTTGCCCAGGTTTGTCGTCGGCCTCCTCCGTCTGACCCTTCTCCTCCCTCCCTTTCTCCCTTCACCCCCAATTTCTGCGCCCTCCTCTCTACTTCACCCGCTCTCTCTCCTTCTCCTCAGCCCTCTCTCTTTCCCTGCTGCCAGCCTCTCTCTCCCTTTCCCCTCTGCTCTGTTCTGACTTTGCCCCATTAGTTTAGTGACCAGTGGGCTGTGACAGTCTCCAGTAATGGTGTTCCCATATGAATCGGGGACTTTTTCCATTAGCGCTTCTAATATTCTGACACCTAACACAGCCCGCTATTACATTCATACACTGATCACCGGCTGGAAATTACATCGCCGCGACCAGCAGAATGGAGGAAACTGTGGCGGTATAATCAGACCGCGCCATGCACTGTCACTCCTGTCACAAACACAAGCTGCAGCAGGCGTTCACATGGGGCTGTACTCCTCGGTGTGTGTGTGTGTGCTGCACGCCAAATACATAAAGACATACAGCACACGATGGCTTGCACACGACATTGCAGGAGTGTGCGTGAGAGTGCGGAATATGGGGGTGGAAAGGGCTATCTGTAGCTCTTTCAAGAAGATCAGGGAGAAAGACAAGGACTGTCTCCAATTAAATTGCGCTGGTGGGGCCCAAGTGTAGCCCTTCTTTTAAACAAAAAAGTACAGGTTGATTAGAAATAACATATTTAGGGTGGGCATCGCACCGCTCCATCGGGATGAGAAACGGTTTTGTTTTTCAAAGAAGGTACTGTAGGTGAAAAGAGCACTCCGGTTTATGTGTGTCATCATCACACTGTGGGACCTGAGTAGCAAGCAGCTAATTTCTTCACTTGTCCTTCTCAATGTCACTGTGACATTTTTCCACTGAACTACGGGACGGATCTCCCTATTTTATTAAAGACTGAAATAACTGCTTTTTCTAAGTGGATAGATCCTGCCCAGAGTGATCTAAATCCACAGAGACAGAAGGTGTAGTTAAATGTCCTTAACCAACTGCCACAACTTTATATTTTACTGTCCATCTAGAGATAAAAATGTGTTAGCAAGGAGAGGCGTTATGCCAAACACATTCACAGGCATAAAATTAAATATTCAGCGTATTAAATAACTTAGGTACAGTCACTTTAATGAAATAACTAGTTCTGAAGACAACTATTTCATTCTGACTAATTGTAAGAAGAATCATAAAATAGTTTCAGAAACCTAAAGGGAAAACTGTGCTTCAGCTACTTAAAAATAAAGTGTTGAAGTGTTAGCCCAGCTAAGGAACCCAGCTATGTATTTCCTAGTATAGATAAATTAACATTTCTGCTCTGACAGAGTAAGTGAGGACACTGTCTGTCTGAAAGATTGTAATTATTACAACATCAGTCCTTAATGAAAACATGAAAACATGTTAGCAAGGAATGAACAGTGAAGCACAAACCAGTGGCTATATGTGGAAGTTTAAATGTACGTGTATTTAAAACTGATAACTAAAGGAATGTACCTGGATGGGACACTCCTGGGAAAGCTAAGGCTGCTGCTGGAAGAGGTGTTAGTGGGACCAGTAGGGGGCGCTCATCCTGCGGTCTGTGTGGGTCCTAATGCCCCAGGATAGTGATGGGGACACTACACTGTGAAAAAAGAGGCCGTCCTTCAGATGAGATTGAAAACCGAGAAGCTGACCCTCTGTGATCATTAACAATCCCAGGGCGTTTCTCAAGAAGAGTTGGTCTGTTACCCTGGTGTCCTGGCCAAATTTCCCAGTGGCCTTTACAAGTCATGGCCTTCAAATAATCCCCATCTCTGAACTGGCTTCTGTTCTCTTTCCCACTGAGAGCTGGTGTGCCGTCACAGTGTGGGGCTGCACACTGGTGGTGGTGGTGGAGGGGAGTCCCCATTACCTGTAAAGCGCTTTGAGTGGAGTGTCCAGAAAGGTGCTATATAAGTGTATGGAATCACTATTATTACCAGTACCAATAATCCCAATGACCAATAATAAGACAGTTAGATAGGCTTCACAGCCGAAACGTTGTGTTTTCTCTCTTCAGCGTGGAATAAACCTCTTACTTGTTCCTTGGCAGACTACGCGTGCTGACCCAGCTCCCCACCTGAACTTCTACAGTTAGATAGCCTCCTCTCATTAGTAGCCTTTCTCGTGTTCTTGCAGAGGCGGATCAGATGGTGTAAAGGAAGTACAAGAGCCACACAGCGGCTGAAAGGAAGCTGTGCGTTCCCTGGCCAGCCCTCAGCAGTAGCTCTGGGGCACAGGAGAAGGGGAGAGGAAGAGTGCAACTCCTCTCCGAGTCACAACGAACACCGCTGCCTGTTACTGAGAGCACTAGCAGGCACCTCTGCCTCTTGTTATTTCCCTGTAATTTCCTGCTGCTGATTATTTTTAGTCCTCTGCTTTTCCCCCCAGAGGGGTCTCTGATTGAATGAAACATGACCCTCAGCTCTAATAAGTGTATTTCAATTACATCTGTCATGGGGTAATAATATAATGATATATCGGGTGATATGAAATCTATGCTAATCATGTTGCATTATTATTGCTTTATGTTACAGCAGGAGAGAATGTACAGAGGGCAGGTTTGGGTTTCAGATTTTGTTTCAAACTGAGAATGTCGATTGCAACAACTTAAAATGTTAATCGGATAGACTAACAGTATTTTGGAGTTTGACAGCTGAAGTTGTGCACACTGTCCCTTTTATATTTCATCACTTTTAATTTTCGTGTCATTTTAATTCGTCTTTGTGTTGCACAAAAGACATGCCTTTTGATTCTTTGCAAGCGGGCAGAAATGCGTAATATTTCACAACTGTGTACAGGGTTTAGTTGAGTTCCGAAGCTGAAGAGATATAAGAAAGGCCCAAACAAATTAATTAATTATTATCTGTGGCGTAATTTGTAACAGAAATAGAAGTTGGGACACGTGTTTCAAGTGACGGGACCACAACCGTGCGGACCAATGCAGCAGAGGAGCTCGGTGATGCGTCTGTGCAGGGATCGTGTTTCCTCGCAGAAACGCCACTGCTCGCCTGCAGGAGCGCAGCTACTGCCCGGTCCGCGCCAGGGTGCCGTCTCCTTCCTGCGACGGCAGCTTTAAGTCGCTGATAACAGACATAAAATGAAGTACCCTATGTTTGAGTATTTTAAAATGGAAGTAAAGGGGTATTTGCAGACTATTTCGAAATGCAAAAATATGAAAGCGGTGCGGACAGTATTTTTATTTAATGT